TCACAGTCGCAGAGAGCAAACAGGAAGAGGTGGCCTCACGGTCACACACCAGTCTGGCCTCAGCCCTGTGTAGACCACAAGAGACTTGCTTGAATGTTAGATTCAATTTCTCTTCCTTCTGAAAATGAATATGGACCCATAGATCTTCCATGTAAGGCAACACAGTTTCACCATGCTTCCAAACTCACGGCTGGCCCTGGCAGCTGGGGGGCAAGCGGCTGTCCTCGATGCTTAAGGACAGAGTAAGCGAAGTAGCGTCCACTCACTGCTCTGTGACCTGGGTCCTGTCTGTGGCTCGTGTGTGTCTTTGGCCATCTTCCAGAGTTGATTGCTGTGTCTTGACTGCTGCGTGTCCGGGGTACACCACCAGATAAGGCTTCTCACGTGCCTCAAACAGTGCCTATTTTTCCACAGGAGCTATTTGCTCATCCTTGAACCCTCATGACCACCTCAAACAGCAAAGGCCAGTGTTGCTGTGGCACATAACCACAAACTCGGTAGTTTAAACAGCAGGATGTTTTTCTCTCATAGCTCTGGATTCCGTAATTTGCAAAGTAGAGGCTTCATCCCATGTCTCGTTCAGCTTCTGGTTACTGTTCACAACCCTTGGCTTGCAGGCACATCATTCCAACCCCGGCTCTGCCCTGGTCTTTTGTGGCTACAGTTTTGTCCATGTTTCTTTCCTCTTCTAAGGATATCAGCCATTGGGTCAAAGTTCATCCTGACCCTGCTCTAACTTGATGGATTACATTCTCAAAGACCCAAGTTCTGAATCCGTCACCAGTGCCTAGAGTCTGGATTACTTCATGTTTGGGGGACACAAATCAACCCACAACTGTAGGTATCGCTCCAACCCTTCTCCTGTAAATTGTAAACTGAGATTCAGGGTAACTTAGCCAGAGATTATTAAAATACATGGTACCCAAGTATCTGCTTACACCTAATAATCACTTATTGTACCTTGACTGTGGTAGGTGCCCTGCTGGGTTCCTACCTAGGTCATTCAGCCAGAAGAAGCAGGTGTGGGATTCGATGTAAAGTCCTGGCCAGGTCAATTTAGCAGAATGTCTCTGGGAAGGCCTACTCTCCCTCATCACCCAACATCTGTTGCCTCAAGGTGGCACCATTCTCTGCCTGAATGTGAGGGCCATGACTGTAAATGACTGGGATTGTCCACATGCACACAACTGGATGCCTCGCTGTGTGTGGGTGATGGTCTGATAGGAGAGTGTTTTTCTTCCGCCAGCAAGTAAAACTGAGGAAGAACCACCCAGTGAGTAAACTCCATTAAACACCAATGTCACAATTCACGACCTCCCTGTAGGGGGCGCCAGGGGGCTAGGATCACTTCTCTATCCTAATTGCTGCCTCACTGGGAAGGACCCTCAGCAAGCAGGCTGGGGAGGAACCAAGAGCCTGGAATGGCTACAGGAGTGAAATGATCTCATTCTTAAAATGATCTCATTCTGCCTCAATGTGAAAATGAAAAAACAGTGTTTCCTGGTAGCAATTGGTCATCGGCAATCCCAACTGTGATAACGCAGCCCAGGGCAAAGGCTCAGACAGTAAGTCTCCTCTTGCGGCTCTTCCTGGACACCAACCAAGATAACACAGCAGGAGGGGCGGGGGAGTGGCTCAGACGGTAAGTCACTCCCCTTGCCAGCACAGGGGCCCTGAAGTCCATCCCCACAGGAAAACACCAGATTAGTTGTAAACAATTGTAATTCCAGCGCTGGGGAGGCAATGAAGAGAAGATCCCTGGGGCTCGCTTCCCAGCCAATGAGAAACCCCGTCTCCAATGAGGCAGCCAGCACTTGTGGGATTACAAAGGATAATCCATTATAATGGATAAATCTCTCTGGCTTCCACGCGCACTGTCCCATGCAGGCACACACATCTGCATGAACGCATGCATACCTACACTCAAACACAGACAAGCTAAAAACAAAACAACAACCAAACCAAACACCTTAAGGTTCTTGGTGACAATTCTGAGGACCTGAGGTTGATCCCCGGGATCCATTCGGTAGGAGGAGAGAATTGACTCCTGCAGGCTAGCCACAAACACACCCTTGTGCTCACATACACATGAACACACATGTAAATAAATGTCATTTAAAATTTTAAAGCTTACCTCACTCAGGATAGCGTTTTCTATTTCCGTCCATTTGCATGCAAAATTCAAGAAGTCCTTGTTTTTTACTGCTGAGTAGTACTCTAATATGTATATATTCCATACTTTCTTCATCCATTCTTCCATTGAAGGGCATCTAGATTGTTTCCAGGTTCTGGCTATTACAAACAATGCTGCTATGAACATAGTTGAGCATATACTTTTGTTGTATGATAGGGCATCTCTTGGGTATATTCCCAAGAGTGGTATTGCTGGGTCCAGGGGTAGGTTGATCCCGAATTTCCTGACAGGCAGGGAACCCTGATTGCTCTTTGGGCTGACGAGGGAGGGGGGACTTGATTGGGGGAGGGGAGGGAAATGGGAGGCGGTGGCGGGGAAGAGACAGAAATCTTTAATAAATAAATAATAATTAATTTAAAAAAGAAAAGATATTTAAAAAAATAAAATAAAATTTTAAAGCTACATAAATACACACACATTCCAGTCTTATGAACATAGTGGCTCTGACCCAGAACCTTCATGCAATAACTGAGGCCCAGTAGGTCCCTCAGCTCAACAAGGGGAGGGGGTAATAATGAAAAAAGCAATTATTTATCCCGTGCCACAAATGACACCCACTCCCTGTGAGAATCCAGGCAAGCTATTTCTCTTCTAGGAGCCTCAGTTTCCTTCCCTGTAAAATGGGGGTGCCAGCATTCACCCTAGAATACTGTTGAGTGAGGAACCACACATGCTCTCTCATCCTTGCTTCTGAGGAGAGACTGTGAGGGACAGACAAGAGGGAAGCAGTGTCTGAGGTTTAATCTTATGTCCCCTATGCACCCATATTTCTACTTAAGACCTTGCCTAAATACAAGCATGGGAGAGCCCTCGGCAGAATGTCCAGACAAGGGACGACACTGCATACTTCAGTCTGCTCGGTATTATCTCGCTGAAACTCATTCTCCTTCCCCTCACTCAGCAGCACGGTGGTGACACTGGTAGGCGGGGCTGGGGACACCTGCAGCCCTTCGCTGCCTGCCTTTGCAGTTTGAGAAGTTCAGCCTGGGGCACATAGTGCTAGGCGATTTGATGCTGTGATGAGTACTGTTGAGAGCCAGTCAGCCTGAGGCTATTCTAGGAAGGGACTTGGTCCTAAGTCCCCTCAAGCAGGACAAGGTATGCAGGAGAAAGGAGGGAAAAAGCAGGCTTACCCATTCCAGGAAAGTGTAACTAAGAGGAGCGGTAGGAAAAGAATTTCACCAGTTTCGCGATCCTCAGAACTTGGTCCTTAGTATTTACATGCAAAGCGTCCTCACCCTCAGCCCAGGTTCCTGTGGCGTTTGAACAGTTAGTTGGTCCTCACCTCAGAGGTTTGGAGCCCTTGGGGCCATTGTGGTTGGCAGAAGTGTGTCACTGGGGTGGGCCGCAGAGGTCTGGCCTAGCTTTGGTTCGAGGCTAGCTCTCTGCTTCCTGCCTGCTTTCTGTGACGGAGTCTGTACCCTGTGTTCCTCTGCGATGTCTGTTTCTTCCCTGCTCTCACATACCTACGCCACGAGGTTATAATGGTTCCCACAAGTGTGAGAAACATCACTCCTATGCATCGTAATGGAAGTCACGATTCTAAGGTTATGATTGAGAGCGCATGTTTGTCAAGAATTTAAGAGTACTTTGGTTGTTAGTGACATATACCTCTAGTCCCAGTACTCAGGACAAGACAGGAGGGAGACGGGACAAGACTCAAGGAGATGGGAGGCAAGTTGGTCTGCCAGGGCTTCATAGGAAGAACTTGTCTTTTACGCCTTTACTCCCGGCACTCAGAAGGCAGGAGGATCTTTGTGAGTGCAAGGCCAGCTTGGACAGGCTCCAAAGCTACAGAGAAACCCTGTCTCGAAAAACAAACAAACAAACAAACAAAAAAAAAAAGAAGAAGAAGAACTGTCGCACAAAACAAAAACCAAACAAATGAAAAGGAATATTTTATCCAAATTTATTTGTTTTTAAAATTCAATTCTCTTTAAGATTTTATTTTATTAAAAAAAAAGATACAGGTTTTATATGACCTGGGCTGGCCTTGGATTTTCTGTTAATCTAGAACGTCCTAATCTCTGCCTCTGTTTTCCCCACCTCTACTTCCTGAATGCTGGGATTACAGGCACAGGCCTTCATGCTCCACTTTCAGAGTCTCTGTGTTCCGTTCTTTTTATACCCATGAAGTTTCACCATGAAGAGGTAGAATGGACTTCTCCCTCTGGCTCCCTTGGCTTAGCACAGACCATCAAGGCTAGCATGGGACAGAGCCGGCAAAGGGGTTGAATGTATTGCACTTGAAACAGCGCCACCTATAGGCACCTGCGCCAAATGACATCTCACCGGGACCTGGGTGGGTGGCTGAAACAGTCATCTAAAAAGGAACCTAAGAGCAGAGTTGCCTTGTATTCCTTGAACATCTTGGGATAAATAAAACAGGAGACTGACACAGTCACGAGATAACATTCAATAGGAGTCTTTTTCTTGAAGAAACAAAAGCTTGGCCAAACAAGAATCCTTGTTGTCCTGTGTTCCCTTACAGGGCCAATCCATTTCACAAGCAACTTTGAAGGAAGCGGAACCAAGTATTTCACCTTGTCAGTTATAGTTCATAAAAAAAAATATGTTCTGTATTTAGCTTAAAACAGCTATCCCTCTACAACTTAAGTACAAAAAGAATTTTTTTACAAACAGCCAATAGCAGCAAAAAAAAGTCAAACATTTGTAAACAAAACCTTAGCCACAACCTTACGCCTAGTAACAAAACTTCCACAGTCCTTGAAAGCATTAAATATCTACAAGAGGAGAATTATTTTCATCTTTCCCTTACTATAAAGTACTTAGTATCTGAAACAATGTTACCAGAAACAGACACAATTTGGTATGGTCATAAATCGCTTTGAACAAACACTTCAGGGCCGTCATGTGCCCGCCACAGAGGACAAGCTCTCCAGATGCTGTCTCCGAGCCGTGATCCTGGCACAGCGGGGGCATCTCGAAGACTGGAAACACTGTTTGTGAAAGCAAGCCCTGCACCCTGCAAGCAAGGGGGCCAGTGGTCAGAAATGTGCTCCTTAATTTCCCACATACAGATGGATACTTGTTCCCATGGAGGTGTGGGGTGGGTATGGGTCTGGGACCCTGAGTCCAGAACACAGGGTCTTATAGGAAAAATATCAACCCCGCCAAAACTCTCAGGGCTATCAATGACTCAACTGTTCTTGACTATGAACAGGGCTCAGGAGCCGGGTGGATGTGGTTGATGCCACCTACTTCCAGATCAGCCCAAGCACTAGGGACAGTTCCCCTTGTCTTAACTTGGTGGCTAATGGTTCTTGCTAGGAGGCATCCATGCTCCTGAAATGTCTCTAAACGGACAGAGCTGCCTCGTCTGAAGTCATGTTCTTTTCTCAGCACTAGCCTGAATCCAGTGACTAGTTGCTGTAAAATTTGAAGATCCAGCTATCTCTGTAAGCTGGGTCAATGCTGAAATGCTACCCCCACTACCACCCAGAGCTCTGTAAGATGGCCCCGGGCTTCTTGTAGCCTACCACTATTCAATAGTGCCCCCTGTCCAGGTCTGCTATTTTCACATCCCCACGGGACTGGAAATCCCAGGCTGAAGTCTCTTTTCTGGGGAACTTGTCTGCAAGACTAGAATATCCTGAGAAGAGGCCGTGTTGACATAAAATATGAAGAAAGGGTTCCCCATGAAAATCCCTCCCACGCACACAACAGAATTTAGAGAGCATGGGATTCCCACAACAGCCCCATCTGTAAAGAGACAAATAATTAGGACTAGGAGATAGCTCAGTTGGTAAACTACTTGCCACGTAAATATGAGGACCTGGGTTCAATCGCCCAGAGCCCACATACAAAGTTGGGTGTGGCGGCACATGTCTGTAACTCAGTGTTGAGAGGACAGAGACAGGAGGATTGCAGGGACTATGGACCAACCTAGCATATTCTAGGTAAGTTCTAGGCCAGTGGGAGACCCTATCTCAAAAACAAAGATGGATTGTGCCTGAGAGACGACACCCAAGGGTGGCTTCTGGCCTCCACACACATGGACACGCACTGGCCCACACATATGAATATATGCACACACATGCATATAAGAGCCAGTATCAAATGTTTGAGACTTTGAGAGCCATTTTGTTTCTGTGATGGTTTGAATAAGTATGGACCCCCCCATAAACTCATGTGTTTGAATGCTTGGACCACAGGGAGTGGCATTATTAGGAGATACGGCCTGGTTGGAGGACGTGCGTCACTGTGGGAGTGGGCTTTGAGGTCTTCTATGCTCAAACTACACCCAGTGTGGAAGACAGTCTTCTCCTGCCTGTAGATCAAATTATAGAACTCTAAGCTCCTTCTCCAGCACCAAGCTTGTGCTTGTACACTGCCCTGCTTCCTACCATAATGACAATAGACTAAACCTCTGAACCGGTAAGCCAACCGTAGTTAAATGTCTTCCTTTGTAAGAGTTGCTGTGGTCACTGTGTCTCTTCACAGCAATAGAAACCCTAACTAAGATAGTCTCTGTAACCACAGGTTCACTCCACCACTACGCTTTAAAAACAGAGATGACCCTTCAGAGTTGGGTGGAACTGTAATCTAGTGAAAACTGGTGGTGGCAATGGGTCAAACTGGGACTATCCTCTCCATCCAACACCCCAAGAAATATCATTCTTTATCCCTCTCTGCAAAATACGCCTTGCTGTGGGCCCCAAAATTTACTGCCTCCAATCCACCCTTGAGCGCACATTGCCCGGAGCCCTGTACGGAGATAAGGGGCTGAGGCATCATTCCATTGAAGTTAGTATTGGGATTTAGCTACTTGGCAATTAAGTGATTATGAAGCTGATGTTATTAAATTATTAAAGTACCTGGGCATCTTATGCAAGTCATGGTCTGGAACGGGAAGATGACGGTCGTACTCTGACAAAACTCACAGATGAAGCCCTTCCCCTGGCACAGCTGCAAAAGAAGGCACCTAAGGTCACATGTTGACACGGCTGCTTGTGCTGGCCAAACTGAGCTACCATTTACACAGAACCATAGAAGCACTGACTTGTTAATGTCTATAAGTTTAGCCTTTAGGAGAATAGATCAGAATAACAACAACAACAAGAGGAAAAACCACATTCCATAATGCTGCTCAGGGCAGAGTGGTCTCTAACAGAGTGTGGGCATTCAAACTAAGAAACTACAGGGTCCTATCTTGCATCCCAGCAGAGAGCCTTTGGTTAGCTAATACAAGATTCTGTTTGATTCAATGCTCTCCCTGCTCAGGGTGGGGAAAGTTAGATGTGATCAAAAGTCAAATGAGAAGCATCTCCCTCCCTAGATCCTGGCACTAGGAAAGGAACCTGTCCCAGGTCATCCCTCACCTCACAGCTGGCCACGTGGGCAAGAGAAGACTTCAGGATGTCCTTAAGCAAGGGTGCCAGCAGTCCTTTCTTGGTCCTGAGGAGGTCCTCCATGGAGAACAGATGGCACTCATCAGTCAGATGACTGGGAACCTGCTCAAACTCCTTCAGCACACTGCCAGAGAGGAGACAGTTCCCTGAGTCACCTACACTTTTTTCCTAATTAAAAAGCTCTCTTGGGGCTTGGGCAATGGCTCAGTCACTATAATGCTTGCTTTGTAAGCATAATAAGGGGGAGATCTGTTGATAAGACACCCACCATTAACCTTTGGCCTTCACCTGCACATAAACACACATAAAATCTCTATCCATAAATTCATGTCTCAACCTTTACTAACTTTTTGCTTTTGAAAATGTGTCTGTGATGTAAATTTAACTATCCTCCTCTTACTGAACACCTAGTAGGTTTCTATGTTATTTCTTATTTTAAATGTATATTTTAACTAGATTTCTTCCCATCTCTGTAAGGATAGCCCTAGGGTAAGCACTGAGAAGTAGTTTCGGGAAGCCATGATCTCACTCAGTGAGACACGCATCCTGCCTCTACGTGAGGGGCATTTAGTTGGCCCTGGAAACCCTCACACCGCTACTCACAAGAGACAGACAGCAGCTTATCCCTTAGTGAGCGGGTTTAAAAAAATCTATATGCACACATAGCCGAAGGCTACTCGGTCTTCAAAAGGGCTGGAGTCCTCACACACGGGGCTATGTGGATGGACCTTGAAGACACGGAGGTGAAATAATCCAGTGATAAGAGGACTTTTATTCTATGATCCACATCCGTAAAGTACTTAGAAAGGTCAAATTCATCGAGAAAGAATGTGGGTTGCAGGGGCCGGGATGCAAGAGAGAAGGGGACGGTGGAATGGCTACAGAGCTGGGGTTTTGCAAGAGGCAGGGATTCTGCAGATGGACCGTGGTGGCGGTGACACAATTGGAAACACCCTCAATGCCCATGAACTGTGCACTGAAAGTGGGAGGGACAATACAGCTCCGTTGCAGGGGTCCAGCGCCATCTATTGCATATATTCATATTCTATGTATACTCCAGCCACAAGGTATTTACTTTTACCCTTTTCCTGTCCTTTTTTTTTTTTTTGTATTAAAATGACTCATTTTTGTTTGTTTCCTTCAGTGCTGGGGGTCAAGAATAAAAGGTCCCAGGGAGTCGGAGGAACCGTGGCAGCCAGGCAAGGAAGCACACCTGAGGTGGGAGTGGGGAGAGCGTTCCTGCTGGGAATCCTACCTGTCAGCGAACCTGCAAGTCCTCAACAGCTTCTTGACATGAAACAGTTGCTCCCGGATGTCCTAAGGCAAGAAGTCAACCCCTGAGAATGAGATGAGTGGCCACTGGCAAGGTACATGACAAACCTTATTAAAACTTATTAACTTATTAAAAAGTTATTTGAAATACTATGGGGGCAAGAAAAATCAACTTTCAAGGAAACATAACTGAATCCTGGGATCCAGCATCCTGAATGGACACAGGTTCTGTGGAGCCTTGGAAAAGGCCCACACAGGTGAGAGACCATTCACTCTACAGCCTATCTGCCTTGTGTGAGACCATTCACTCTACAGCCTATCTGCCTTGTTGAGGGGCGGAGACTCTCTGAAACCAGAGTGACAGGCATCTCCTCCTATGAGGGGAACCCTCTTCCTATCCTTGCTTCCTCCTCCATGGAGACGTCCACTGACCTTCACCCTATCCAGTTCCTTGGCTTTTGTGTAGAGGCTGTGGTGCCCGCCTTGCAGGTTGAAGACAGGCTGGTGCCATATGCCGTCCAGTAGCCATTTCGAGAAATTGCTGACTGGGTACTTCCTGAAGTCCCACATGGTCAGGATCCTCGCAGGGATCCAGGACTCTGCAGATGAGTGGCAGCTGTCACAGAAGTACTTGCCCAGATACTCACAGTACCGGAGCCTCTTCACAAACTCTGTAGAGAGCAGGAGGGTGAGACCCTGTTCATGATGCTAAGAATCTGCCCTTCGCCACCTCCCCACTCCTACGTCAGACTCAGACCACTGCACACAGTGGCGAGGCCAGGTTCAACTGCCAGACAGCACAGCTGGGACACGGGCATGGGGATTTCCCTACGGCCACTCGTTACTTTGCTGGGATAAGACAGAGGCCAGAGAAATGGACTTGGAAAACGGGCTCTGTGAACTGCAATGCAGTGAGAACCTTTTTGCATGGGGTCTGGGAATCTGGTGGAGTGTGCAGGCGCCACCTGCTACTGACAGGAACTCCAAAGACAGCTCAGAATCTCTTAGGCTAATAAACTGAGATCCAGAGACTTCGGGGAGAGCCCACATATGAAGATCACAGTCTAAAGCGGGGTACTCATGGTGTTAGGATATATATATTGCAGGACTGGCAAGAGAGTACCTAAACTATATAAATCAGGGAGGAGGGCACAGAGAGAGTACCTAGACCTTCCCCCAGAAAGCTAACGATGCGCATCTCTATCCCATGGGGAAAACTACTTATGTCTTGCACTTTTGAATCTGTTAAAACAAACACATGGTGCTTCTGAAATCTCTAATAAAATGTTTTGATGCACAAAAGATGTAGGGATGGCGGTGACAATATGGTGCCCTCACAACCTGGGCTCAGAAGGAGAACAACGCAGCCGAACTCTCCGGTGCAGCCGTCCCTCAGCATTAACACCTGACATGAGCCAACTCTTGGCGTTTGCCATTCCTGCTTTGATGTGTGCCTCTCTGTGGTCGAGATAACACAAGGTGTAATTCTAGTTCTTATGTCTGTTAGCTCCGTGGTGAGAAAGAACAACATATTGGATGGGAAGGCAGTGACTAACGCCCTAGCACACTGTATAGCACTGTAGACACCGATGACCATGTCCCTAATAATGCCTCCAAGAATGGCAGGAACGAGTCTCCTCTGGGCACTTAACCTGTTCCCCAAGCTGGTTATAGGTTAATATATGTCACTCTATGCTTATAATTCCGTGACTTAGGAGCTTATGTTCTCTCTTTAGGGAAAACACAGGACGGCGAAGACAAGTGTCACCGAAGGGACACACAGGCAGTGAACAGGAAGCTCAGTTGACATCCAGTGTATAGCCAGGGTGTCCTGCTCCTCCCTGGGTTCAGGTGCTGAAGGAGAAGAGGAAGAGCTGATGTCTCTGCACTTACTGAATTATCCTTTGGGGAGAGGTTTGCTAAACAGTGAAATCTTCAGCAAAACCAATTACAAAAGCACAGTACACCGCATGCCACCTGAAGGACAGGTGTAGTGTGCTATACCATACAAACGTACAGCACTCTGCATACCACCTGAAGGCAGACTCTGCCCTGGTAACCTGCATCCCTGAGCAGACTTGGAATGATGGGAAGAGACAGAAGGATACAAGGGACTAGTAAGTTCCTCCTGATATAACCCGGCTCTCCCCAACAGAGGTATGAAGGTGAAATGGCCTGTATGCAAGATTGGAGGGGACTCAGGAAGAATGTCAAAAGAACGTGGAATTTTGGACTGAACTCTGAAATGGATAAAGACTATGGCCACCGTCTTCTGAAATCTGGTAAAGTCTGAAGTTAACCTGAGGGGATTGAGCCAACCTTAACATCTCAGATGTGATGATTGCCCTGTGATTGGCATTGACAGAAGCCAGGGAAGATGGCCTGGGAGCCCTTCGCACTGTTTCTGAAATTCTTCTGTAAGTCTAAATGATCTCAGAACTCAAGGTGGAAACAACCAGAATCAGACAAAGTTTTCAGGAGAAGCGCTAGATCACTTCGGGAGATGACATCACCAACTTACGCTGCACCTCCTCTGCTGGGTTTCCCTCCCCTCAGTCAGCTTCCCAATGGCCACAGGCCCTTTGCATGTGCTGAGTACCCCACGTCCTGGAGATAATCACCTGCTTATGAAACCTCTCATTCCCCTCTCCACCTCCACCTCAGATTAAGTTTGTCCACTGTGAATTCCACAGCAGTCTTGCCTTCCCCTTTCCTTATCTTGCCCTCCAAACTGGGAAGCAGATGCTGTGAGGGCGGGGTCTGCAGGATTCCCCACTGTACTGACAGGATTTCAGTGAATTTAGGAAGGTATTAAACGATCGATGGAGTCGGTTGCGTTTACGTAGTTTTTGAGTCATGTATTTGACATTTTGTATGGCGTTAGGATGTACAGATTAACTAATAGACCTGCTTCTTGGTAGACTAGCTAGAAAACTGAGTCATTTGAGGAAGACTCTCTGTGACTGTGGTACATTCATGAGCTAGAAGAAGCCAGGGTGGTTCTGCTTTCAGTTCTAATCTCTTGAAATAGACCAAGCAATGTCCCGTCTCAGCTAAAAATCTTGCACGGGGAAGATGAGTTTGCAGAATTTTGACCAGCCCAGGAATGAGTCACCATGTCCTCTCTTAGAGAAGTCTTGCCAAGAGCCATTTGTTTACTCTGTGGGTGTGTCTGGGGGGAATCATCTATGAGCCAGCATGGCCCTGAGGCTGGAGATGAACAATGAACAAAACCAACAATGTCTCTGCCTTCTTGGAGCTTAGTGGTGATGGAGACAGATAAGAATCTGTACATGAAGCTAAGAGTATTCTAGGGATGGATGCCATGTTGGGAGTAAACAGTCTGGAGGCTGATTGAATGAAGTACACAAACTACTGAATGTGGCCAGGTAGGCACGTCCCATGGGGTAGCCAGGGAAAACTCGGAGTAAAGAGGAGGAGGAGGAAGTGAAGAAGAGGGGGAGAGGAAGAAGAGGAGCTAGTGGGATGAAAAAGAGGGTAAAGGTGTGATGGAAGCCAAGAGCCATAGCAGAGTCTCCAGGGAGGGCATTCTGCAGAGAGGAAGCAATAGGTTCAAACGCCTAAATCAGGAGTGGGTTGGGTTCTCCAAGTGCCTAGCGGAGAAAGCAGCCAGGATGCTGGTCCTCCTGGCTCCTGTCTAGTCACGCAGCTTAGTGGATCATGGTGGCCTTCTAGTAAAAGACAGCATCACTTCCACAAATCCACCACAACATTCTCACACTGAAAAGGCTCCTGTCCCACACCAAAGCAACGCACAGTCCAGCTCTGCCTTTCGGCACTGTTACCATGCAACAGGCAAGCGGCACAGAACCCACACTTACTGGGCTGTATCGGAGTCCCGCATCCGGCACAGAAGAAATTCTGGGCCACCACCGCTATGTCCCTCCTGAGGACAGAAAGTGGCAGCTGTTAACATTCCAGAGCTGATCAGGGCAGCATTTTTTTCATTGATAACAAAGCAGTCAGCGTCATGGTGTGCTCCTTGGCATAGGGTGCTTAATTTTGTCATTTTTTTTTTCATTTTGAGAGAATTTTATACTGATCCAATATGGTTGTCTAGTTAAACATGGGACTCTTTAATTTAAAAGTCAAATTAAAAGTCGTCAAATTAGAAGTCAGTATCACAAAGAACTCTTCTATTGTAGAGTCCTTGGGGCTTCCCATTGCCCGTGAACAGAAGCCAGAGGTACACTAAAGACAGCCGAGGATACACAACACAATCTGACGTGCTCAGAAAGGTCACACATGAATAAATGCAATATACATTAGAAGAAGAGAGGACGCAAGGCCAGGTTATCAAATGCTCCTTCCTGCGAAGAGTGTTCTGGGAACAGCGGTGCCCTAATTTCAATGGTGACCTAGAATTATGGGCACAGTGGTAAACTTAAACTTTTGTTGCAGTCCAAGGTCAACAAAAATTGCCAAGGTTAAAAAGAATGCATTAAATCTCCATCCGTACGTCTTATAGAGGATTCTGGGAAATTTGAGAGAAAAGCTATCCTGTGCAAAGAAAGTGAACTGTCCCAGTGCCCCGAGGGCAAGCTCTGTCCAGGCACAGTGGTCTTCCTGGGTTCCACCAAGTCTGAGAGCAAAGGCAGTAGGCAAAGATAAGGCACATGAACCACCTCCCTGGAGCTCAGGAAATGTTGCTCCATAGCCCTGAAGTTCACATGAGGGAACACGAGAACAGAAAAATTGCACGTGGCTCAAATATGTTGCCTGTCACCTTTGTCTGCAATCTATTACCTATTCTCAGGACAAATCACAATTGAACTACTATGTACACACAATGCGTCCGGCCACATATGCACACACAATATAAGTTTACTCCCTTCTTGTTCAATTTTAGCTGTCTCAGAGCCTGTGATGTTATGGAATAAAGATTTTACTCATGTCCCGCTACATTTCTCAATTATGGACAATCTCCTCGAGATTAAATTCTTCTCTCAAAACTCGCATGCATTCATTGTTGTTTTCATTGCATGCTAGCTAGTCTGGGAAAGAGAATGGTCTCATCATTTGAAACCGTTGCTTTTGGTTTTGGTTTCAGTATCAGCCACTTAAAATCCTCTTTGGGTCGATTTGATCTAGAGGTGCTAGGAAACGTTCAGAACTGGGGAGGGGAGTCACACTTTTAACGTATGGGACCGCCTCTGTGCCTCCATCGACCCCCAAAGCTCACAACAGAGAGCCAAAGGCAGAAACATCTCCTTTGTCTCTCAGTACATTGGTTTCGCTTCATCTGCTTCCATAGGAATCAGGTGGGCCCCATCACGTGTTCCAAGTAGAACCCGGATTCCGGGCAGCATCCACACTTACTTGACTGGTGTGTGAACAGTAAGTATGATTTGAAATCGAGGGGGGACCCAGTCTTCAGCCCCTGGGACCCTAGACTTAGGCATGAGTTCCTGTGTTGTGTCCACACTGGAGTCCAAGTCTTGCCCAGTACGCTCTTCATTCTCCACCTGCATGACACGTGAGAGGATTCAGGGGTGACCTCAGAAAGCATTTCAGGAGCTTAACTAAAAAGAACTCTTCAGTGTGTTTCCCATAACAATTTACCACCAGAACTTGGAACTGGTTTTAGCTGATCTAAAGGATTTGACACTGGTTCTTTAATTTCCAGCTGAGTGCCCCCCCCCCTTTTTTTTAATGATTCTGTGTGTTTGTGTACATGGTGCCTGTACAGGCCAGAAGAGGGTGTCAGAACCCCTGGGACTGGAGAGTTCCTCCTCCTTGTGAGCCGCCCTGGGAGCTCACAGGGCAAGAACAACCGCGCTCTTATAGCTCATTTGTTCCCAGACTTCCCATGTGGTGAGGAGGGCTCTGTGACCAGGGCCACTCCATGACAGAAGCGGCCTCTAGTGACAAAAGCAGCAGCCAATCAGAGAGTTTTGCCACGGCCTTGCTGCAGAAAACCCTGGCTTACAAAGCTCAACAGCTTACTGTAAAATCATACATTTTCCGGTTGTCGTTTAGAATCCAGACTCCTCCAAATCAGAAACCTCCGCAATTTGGCCATTCTCATTCAAACCTGTTCCCGTGGATCCCAGCCCCCCACCCCGACACACTCACACACGTACACTCTCCACCACACCTGAGTCTGCTCATGGGACTTCAGACCTCTCCATGTGTGTTCCAAGGGCCCTTGTTAAGAATACTCACCCACTAGCCAGGGTCTAGCTGCCCCGGCTCCACCTGGCTAACACCTGGGTCACCATCTAAGCTCTCCAGAGGCTTAATTCCTCTGATAGAATTAGATGCCTGCCCACCCTGGCCCTTCCAGGGAGGTGGTTTTTGTTTGTTTGTTTGTTTCTTGTTTTTTCAACACTTCTTTTAGCATTTACTACCACCAGGGCGCTTCATGTTCTTGAGGTATATCCTGCACGTAAAGTTGTGCATATTTTCACGTCTGTCAGCTAGCAATGACACCTGCTTCACCACTGACCCTCCTGCCCACAGCTCTGCTCAGGTCTGCCCAGCACTTTAAAATAAGAGTAATAAGCCGGGCGGTGGTGGCGCACGCCTTTAATCCCAGCACTCGGGAGGCAGAGGCAGGCGGATCTCTGTGAGTTCGAGACCAGCCTGGTCTACAGAGCTAGTTCCAGGACAGGCTCCAAAACCACAGAGAAACCCTGTCTCGAAAAACCAAAAAAAAAAAAAAAAGAGTAATAAGAGGGGGGAAAATGAGAGCAACACCTCAGCATACTTGGGGAGGGTCACAACATCTTAGCAGGCCTGTAATCCCAGCACTAGGGAGTCTGGAGTAAAAGGATTCTGTAATTCGAGACTGGCCTGGGCTACACAGTAAGACCGTTTTTTTTCTCAAAAACAATAACACCTTAGTGCGAAGTGTTAAGTACATTCCCTGATGTTTAATGGGTGCTCACAATCATTTTGAGACCTTTGGGATGCCTACCAACCATCCTAGGAAACAGAAACCTTTGAGTCAAGCAGGCCAAGTGAGAAACTAAAAACGTTTCATTCCACCATCAACTGGCTTCCATACTTACTCCTGAGCTGGCCGCTGTCAGGGAGCCTGGCAGCCGAGAATTGACTTCCGACAGCACCTGGCACTTCCAGAACCCTCGGAACAACTCTCTGGCTAACAGCCCAGCAGAACTGAAGTCTGACTCACAAGTTGCACTGAAACACAAGAGAGAGAAAAGCTGGACGACTGCATATAGGGTATATAGCTGGGATCTTTGGGAGTTCAACCGTGGGTTGAGAAAACCATCGTGCGAGATAGTTATTAGCTGAGCATCTAAAGCAACACAGTTCATCCACAATCAGCAGAGTCTCTCATTTGTTAAGACCACTGAGACCTGGGGTAGAGTGAAAAGAGCACTGGATTTCTGATACCTTTCTTCTCCTTTACGAGATGTGAGATAAAGACACAGTGTCCACCCCAAAATCCTCCTAATTCTCGGTTGAGAACACAAGTAGACACAGATTCTGATTGCCAGTTGCTGTCAAATTTATATTAGAAAAGTGACAGATGTAAAAATGTTACCAGGGAACTCGGTGGTTGGTACAAGAAGAAAAAGTCACAGTTATTTTCACCCACATCACTTTGTAACTAGAGGGTTTGTGCATCAGTGGTAGGTCTGATATTTGTTGTTTCTTTTTCCTTTTCACAGTAAATTTGTAGTGGTCAGATGCTACACTAGCAAGAATTTCCACATTTTTCTAATTCAAAAGGTTTTCTTATATTACTGGGGAAAGTATTTATTTTAATATATAAAATCACTCTTGAAAATCACTTTTGTAAAAAAAATGGTGTGCATGTAAATTTTTTTATCAAGGAAAAAATAAAAACAGGTGAGTGTGGGTCATGTTTTTATTTCTCTCAAAAAAAAAAAAAGAGCACTGGATTTAAAGTCAGAAAACCAGAAAAACCCCTCACTGTCAATGACACTATTTTGTCTTTGAGTTTACAAAGACAAACAACCTTTTCTCTCTGTAAGTTAGTTGTCTCGGGTATTTTATCATTGCAAACAATACTTCTGTTATGGAGGTGACTGACTAACTTCTAGACGATCGTCTTGGATTAGTTTCTTCTCCTGGTGCTGTGATAAAAGGGCAAAACACCTATGCATATAAAAATAAAATACATATGCCTAAGAAAATACTAATTTAAAGGAGAAAGGATTTATTTTACTTTTTACAATTTTAAATCTTTTTCTTTGTTGTTGTTTTTTGTTTGTTTGTTTTTTGTTTTTGTTTTTTGAGACAGGGTTTCTCTGTGTAGCCTTGGCTGTTCTGGAACTCACTCTGTGGGCTATGCTGGCTTCAAACTCAGAGAGCCGCCTGCCTCTGCCTCCCTAATTCTGGAATTAAAGGCATGCACCACCATAGCCTGGCTAAAATTTCTGATAGTATAATTATAACTTCTCCCTTCCCTTCCCTCTCTCCACTACTAACTTGCTAAACCCCATAATCTGGTTTAGCAATCTATAGACCTTTGTTGTTAAAAGTGTAGTCATGGCCTCTCCTCAGGAAAACTCTTTGCAACAGAGACTACAGAAAGCTACAACCAATCAGAATGCAGAGTCGTGGAGTCCAATCTCAATAAACACATCTTCAGACACTCCTACACCTAAGGCTCGGGGGAACACTGCAGAAGAGGAGGTTGAAAATTTTTAGAGCCAGGGGCGTGGAGTGTTTGCTGTCAGGCTGTCTCCAGGAATGTCAGAAAGGATTTATTTTAGCTTGTCCTTCAAGGGGCAGTCCACTATGGTAGAGAAGTCAAGGCATTGGGAAGCGGCTCACCACACTGCACAGCAGTCAAAAGAGAACAGGGAATGCATGCAAGCTCGCACTCAGCACTTTCTCCACCCGTAGAGTGCAGCTCACCTTGTCCGGAGGATAGTCCACCATTAACATGGGTCTTCCCACATCAGATAATATAGTCAAGATGATCCCTACTCTTGGGTGATTCTGGACTCTGTCAACCTGACAATTAACGCTAGCCATCTGCGAACCCTGTTTGTGGCTAACCTCGTCACAATATCCAGTATGGGTGACATAGTGGACATGGTGGCTCCAAAGAATCCCCTGGGGGGGGGGGGAGGTTGGAGAGATGGCTCAGCGGTTAAGAGCACTGACTGCTCTTCCAGAGGTCCTGAGTTCAATTCCCAGCGGCCAGATGGTGGCTTACAACCACCTATATTGAGCTCTGGTGCCCTCTTCTGGCCTGCAGGCAGGATACTGTATAAATAAATAAATCTTTAAAAAAAGAAAAAAGAAAAGAAAAAAAAAGAAACCCCCAGCGGTCCATGTGTGTAAGCACAAGAAGACATGTACCTTTTTAAAGAATTGCAGGGGCGTCTGCCGCCTTCTGTGATGTCATTACATTCCCCAAGTTCTGCAAGAAAATGAAAGAAAGGGTAACAGGGTCTTTTAGCCTGTCTCACTTGGTTAATTTTATAAGAATACAAAAATAGGAGCCTGCATCCAGGAAACCTGTTGTGGCTAACCACCTACAGAGGACAGGGTGAGACTCCAGGTAACCACCAGAGATGGGATTTTTATATAAACTTCATCAAAACCACACAGCAGATCTAATGAATATCGGCATTTTTTTGTTTGTTTGTTTAGCTCTTACAAGTAAGATGAACAATTATCAAGATGCCAGACACAAGGAAACAGCTTCTTCTTCGCCGCATCCTGGGACATCCCTAACATGGCCTCGTATGTGATGTTGGCTGGTAGTTGTGCGGTATGTGAGGGAGTTGGAAGCAAGGAGATTCTAAACCTCACCTAACATAACGAACTCATCCGAGTCATGTCTGCGGGCCTCTCTCACCACAGGAGAGGCAGAAAGTGTCTCAGTCACTGGGCTGACCTGGAGCACTGCACAACCTGGAAAGAAGAAAGAGGGACGATGTCATCAGGAAGTGAGACTGGAGCTGGAGAGATGGGTCAGTCGGTGAAGCGTTCGCTGTGCGAGGACCCAAGTGCAACTCCCAGAAGTGACAGAAAAGCTGACCATGGTAACTTGAGCTTGTAATTCCAACCCTGGGAAGTGTGGGGGCGGGAGCAGGTAGATCTTGGGAGCTCGCTAGAGTCAGTGAGCAAATCACAGAGTTCTAGGCCAATCAATGGTAGAGCTTGTCTTAAAAAAAATAAAATAAAAAAGACAGAGACCTGCATCAGAGCAATGGACTGAGCTCCCAAAGTTCAGTTTAAGAGTGGGAGGAATGAGAATATGAGTAAAGAGGTCAAGACCATGATGGATACACCCATTGCATTCACTGAAACAGTCAACTTGAGCTAATGGGAGCTCACCAACTCCAGCTGGACAGGGAAGGAACAAGCATGGACCAAACTAGTCCCTCTGAATGTGGGTGACAGTTGCATGGCTGGGGCAGACTGAGGGGCCACTGGGCAGTGGCATCAAGATTTATCCCTACTGCATGTACTGGCTTTTGGGGAACCTATTCTCTTTGGATGGATACCTTGATCAGACTAGATATAGTAGGGAGGGTCTCGGACCTTCCCCCAAGCAATGTACCTTACCCTCTCTGAGGATTGGATGGGGATGAAGTAGGAGAGTATGTGGAGGGAATAGGAGGAGGGGAGGAAATGGGAACTTGGATTGGTATGTATAATTAAAAAAAAGATAGTTTGTTTTCTTTTTAAAAAATATATAAAAAGAAAGGAAAGAAGAAAGAGTACAAAGGAAGGAGAGAAAGGAAGGGAGGGAGGGAGGGAGGGAGGGAGGAAGGAAGGAAGGAAAGAGACAGCTCCTGATACCAAAATTTTCCTCTGACCTGCACACACACACACACGCACACACACACACACACACACACACACACAGTACCATCATCATCAACATCATCACACACATGTTTAAACACATATGCATGAATGCCATAATAAGCAAACAACTCAATAGTAGAACACCTGCAGTATGGTGGTGATGCATGCCTTTAATCCCAGGCAGAGGCAGGTGAAGTTCTGAGTTTAAGGCCAACCTGTTCTACAGAGGGAGTTCCAGGATTCCCAGGGAGATGCAAAGAAACGTTATCTTGAGAGGTAAAGGCTGGAGAATTGCACATTCAAACCAGTCTGGTATACAGTAAGACATTTTTGAAAGAAGAAGAGGAGGAAGGTGAGGAAGAGGAAGGAGGAGAGAAGAAGGAAGAGGAAGAAGAGGAGGAAGGGAGAAAGAACAGCGTAGCTCCCAACTGACAGAACTTAGATCGGTAGCAGGGATAAAGCTGCAGAGCTTCAAGGATTAAAAGCAGCAGGAAGCTAGTTTAGGATCTCTTATTCACTATAATTGGGTGAAACAGGCTGTTACAATCTGTCTGCTTTTCGATATGTTTGAAAATTTCCCAGTATAACACAAAGTTTAAAATAAAACTAACAGAGGCAAAATAAAAATAAAAAAAGCCAAACTGGCCATGAAATACATAGCGCAGGGCACGTACTTATGCTGGGTTGAATTATGGCCGTCCGAAGTTCGTGTCCACCTAGAACGCGTGAATGTGATCCTATTTGGCAACACAATCTACACAGACAGAAGAGAGAGTCAAGACATAGCCTCCCACCCCCCAGAAAAGGGTTTTAGATGAATAGTGTAGCCATGTTAAATTAGAGCTTACCTCTGCCCACCTTGAAGCTAGACATATGATTGTACTAAGGGAAACAGAGAACGTGGAAAATGTCCTGTCACCACTGAATACCATCACCAAGTACATGGCAGGTTCATTGTTGGCTAAAAAACATGGAAGGAAAGGTAGGGGGATGCTATGTGATGGAAAACAAAGGAAGACAGGAGACAACAGCCACCATGGAAAGGCAGAATGAAATCCAAGGAAAAACAAAACAAGTAATGCAGTATTGGCCAAAAGATGGATCATGAGCACCAATCACAAGGCAAGACAGCAGCCTAGGAGATCATCCACATGTGCAAAGTGGCATTATCAGCAACAAAGTACATACACCACCAAAGGCCCTCAAAATTGAGTCACTGAAAATAACATATCACACACACACACACACACACACACACACACACACACCTCAAAATGTTCTAAGTTAGTTTCAGATTTTGAATTGCCACATCCATGGCTAACCTAGGATGTATGTTCCCAACGGGCCATGGGTTGGCCACATTTTCAAAGGACTGAAATATGTCTCTCCTTCTGGACTGGACAGAGGACAGACAGTGTGTGCAGAGATCACAACCCTCAGATTCAAGCGTTTGCCCAACTTGCCTTCATAGCCACTGTCTGAGGAAGTGGAGGACCCTGGCTCCGGCCTTGCAGGGGTGTAAAAGGCCACTTCAGCCTCGGTCTGATTGTCCCCATGAGACCCGCTGGCCTCCTCTGTGCCCCAGATCTCCGGCAGCTGTTGACTCATGAGGTGGCATTTCATAGTCTCCAATGCGGAGATAATCATGTCTGCCGCATAGAAGTGGACATTTTCCTACAGGAAAAAACCATAGTCAGTTCAAACAGGAGCACGATCAACTTTGCTTCTGAGTATGGATCAGATTTCAAAATTGGAGAAGTGTCACTTAAGTGACCTGAGTGCAGATACATATAGCTGTTGATTTAACTAAATTCTGACATAACCCACATTCAGAGACACAGATATACCAAATTGAATTAATTCCTTTTCAGGACTGGAGATTGAACTTAACATCACATATGCTAGGCAAGCACTCTCCTACTGAGCCCCAACCCCAGCCACCAAGTTGACTTTCTTATGATAGGACACTCTCAGGAAGTGGGGCGCAGCACCTGGCATAGTGCATCAGTCACGGACAACTGAGCACACGGTGCCTGGAAACTTCTCCTGGCAGCCTCCATCAAACACTGAGCAGAGCCATTTGGCTGTGCCTCTCCAGGGTGGTTTCCACACTCACATCTGAGAGACGCTACCAAAGAACTCAGGCTCTCAGTGGTTGAGAAGATCCACTCACCTTGTCCACATCAGTGGGCAGCACAAATGTCTCCAGCGGGAAGAAATTCCAAGAATGGCTTCTTCTGCTGCTCCGAGCAGCACCTGCCAATACATCTAGGCATTAAAAGGGTGTGCATCATCCTGAATGGGCATACAAAAGGCACAGCCAAAAGGCACCGCTGGTGTAGCTCAGCCGTTAAGAGCACTGGCTGCTCTTCCAGAGGTCCTGAGTTCAATTCCCAGCAACCACATGGTGGTTCACAACCATCTGTAATGAGATCTGGTGCCCTCTTCCAGCCTGCAGGTGTACATGCAGACAGAACACTGTATACATAATAAATAAATAAATCTTTAAAAAGAACTATAAAAAATAATAATAAAATGGAGAAAGGGGGCCTGGGGACATGGCTTGGTCAAGAAAGTGCTTGCTATACAAGCTCTAGGACCTGAGTTTAGGACCCAAGTTCAGTCTCCTGTTGTATCTCAGTGCTGGAGAAGCGGGGACAGAAGTCTCCTTGGGCTTAGTAGTTTAGACAAATTAGTGAGCTGCCGGCTCAGTGAGAGACTCTGTCTCCAAAAGAAGGGTGGATGGAGAATGATAGCAGTCACCTGACATTGACCTCTGGCCTCCATGTGTGCATGCATGCAGGTGAACACACAACACAAAAGAAAACACACACATATACACACGCACGCACACACGCATGCATGCATACAGAGACAGAGAAAAAATGGGGAGAACAAATTCAAAGATTATCTAAACAAACAAAACCAATTGTAGGTGCAAGTCTTCAGCACCATCAAGGGGTAGGGGAAAGGTACAGTTCTAGAAAGATGTGGGGGACGGAAGAGGAAAGAGACTTCTGATGACAAGGCCTGTAGACACAGCCTTGCTGTCAATCATTTCTAATGGAGTGACTGAGAGGTATCATGGGAAACCACCAGAACAGAGGGAACAGTGGAGCAAAGATGGTGGGAAGATGAGCAGGTCACGGGAAATACCCACAAGAGATGGGAAGGTGGCCTTAAGAATTACAGGATCTCTTCCCCAGCTCGTGGAAATTGGCCCCAGACTTCCTGTTACATACACAAGTCATCTGAAAACAAAGAGTCCCCCAGTCAAGCCCAATGCCTATGACACTGTGTCATCCATTCTTGCTCCTCCCCCCCACTCCTTCCTGGCAATGGTCACCGTGGAGAGGGCTTCCTATCACAGAGCTGCTAACTGCAGCCTTGGAAGGAAGTGAAATTTCATGACAGCCGGAGAAGCTGAGGTTTCCTGACCTGCTAAATTAAAATAAGATCCTGCCAACGTTCTGGGGGCTGTGGGTTCTCTACTGCCAGGCAAATGCTGCCAGTATCACCCTGATGCCTCATGTTGACTAAAGTGGGTTGGACATGGAAGACGAAGGATTTCTTGGCTGTGGTTGGTAAACATTTTGGGGGTAGGATGTGAAGGCCATTCACCATCTCTGCCACTGTAACCAGAATACCACTATTGATGAAAGAAACTAAATTGCTGGTTTGCCTTTTTTTTTTTAAACAAAAACAGGAAGCTGACAGGTTTGAGCCCCTTCGTCATAGGCGCAAACCTGAGAGTAGAGGAGAAAACAAGATCCTGCAGAATGGTGCCCAGCCCTGTTATACCTCAGTCATAGATTCTCTCATGTCTTGAGCTGGGATTATTACCAGTTACACATAAGGAGATAGAGAAGGCAAAGGTATTTTGTAAACAATGTAGATCCTGTTTAACCAATAGTATGCAGGAGGATTGCTTCTACAGCCTCAGGAAATGCTCCCCTCAGCTGCCGTTAGAGGCGTGGGGGGCCAAGGAAAGCCTGTGTCTTGATGGACAATGTTCCTTCTTTGTGCTGCTCCATACTAAAGGAAGAGAAAACCCAGTCACTTCTGGGCTTCTGTTTCTTAATGGCACAGAAGGAATCTCTTCGCCAAGCTCAAGACAGTCTTGTCAGACATGATGACTCATGCCTGTCATCTTAGCCCTCAGGAAGCAGAAGTGAGAGGACTGCTATGAGTCTAAGACTAGCCTGGACTACAGAGGGAGAGCTCATCTCTGAAACAAAACAAATAGAACACCTCAAAATACTGAATCGGTACTGATAGGATTGCTGGGAAACCCTGCCTTTGGACAACAGGGGCCGCAGTACTTGTCTTTGCTTTGGGGTTCATTTTGTCCCATTGTTTTATCCAGGAGAAAGACAAAGACACAAAAGTAGTGCTAAGTTGAAGAATGACTTGTACAAGGCTATAACAAGTGGGTTTGGGCCTCAGAGGCCATCGTCAGTCAGTGGCTGCTTTAACTTGTCACCATGATGGTTTATGTGGGGAAAGACTTCCTCCAGGAGGCAATCTAACAGCAAAGTCGTCTCTCACTTAGCAACCTCTAAATCCGCAAGCAAACTGCTCTTTATCCTGAGAAGTAACCACCTGGGTGGATGAAAGAAAGAAAGAGAGAAAGAGAAAGAAAGAAAGAAAGAAAGAAAGAAAAAGAGACCTGTTTTGAGAGACATTTCGCTCAAATGTGGTTGCCTCAGCATTAGCCTCTGAAAGACAGTAAGATAAATACACACACAGGCTGAGAACAGGCAGGTGACAGCTTTGAAAATGATTTGCAACAAACAACAACGACAACAGAATGCGTCCCACACTATTTGAAGCAGGGCTCTAAACTCACAGTGTGAATATAAAGTAATGAATCCTTCGACATAAAATAAAGACAACTAGTTGGACCTTGCCTGGGGCTTTGGTTGGACCAATTCATTCAGCTTTCTATTTTGAGAATCTGTGCACTGCTTCACATCAAGGGAGCCCTTGTTTTCACACCAAAAGGCTTTAGGTGGCCTTTCCGGGGAGTATTGTGGCTACTGTTTTCAAACCTGCTATTTTCGCAGCTGTCTGTGCTGGAACTAGCGCAGGTGAGGCACATCCGTCATCCGCCTTCCCCACCCACAGCGGGTTGAGTGTTTCTAATGTTCTCCCTGCAAACAAAGCCTTGAGTGTTTTCACATCTGCCAGCTAGGAATGATAACCTCTTCACCGCTGACCCTCCCTTCTAAGGTCCCGGCCCAGCACTTGAACTATACTGAGCTAAAACGATGACCTTTCTCTCAGTGGAAGGAGGAGATGATATCTGATCCACCTGTTGTGACCATCACAGAATATGGGCTGTGGTGACATTAAAGGAGCTCACGCATTGGCTTCTGGTCAAAGTAGAAGGCCATGAACGTCATTTCTCACGGCAAGACAACAGGCAGACTTTTGAGCCAAGCCCAGACAAACACGTGGCTGGAGAAGAATAAAGGAAGTCACCAGGTAGAGTTACCGTCATCTGTAGAAGCTGTCAAAGGAGGAGACTCAAAACGGGCACTGTCTTCCTTAGGGCATGAGGAAGTGGCCACAGTCTTAGGGTTTCTGAGCAGAGATTTGTGCTGCGGATGAACCTCTTGCTCTTCTGTAGGCAGGGAAAAGTCACCATTCTTTCCCCCAGGGCCATTGACAGTATTCTCAGACAGGGATGTCTCAGCTAGGGAGTCCCGGTGGGACAACAGTGGAAGGCCCACAGGAGAGGGAGTGCCCACCCCCAAGTGTTTCCCACTGCTCTGCACTGTTGCTCTCTGGGTGAATAAGTCTTGCAGCGGCTGCTCCACACATGGCTGGTTGATCCAGCAGGCTTTATGCCGCAGGAGCCTCACATCTAACTGGCAAAGAGGGTAGTCAGTGTCCAGGAGCGGGGGTGAACTGTCAGCATCCTCACAGGCACCACTGATCCCTTCCCAGGGGTCCACAGGACAATCTTGCCGGTCTGTGGACTGGGACACCATCCTTCCTGGTGTGGAGGGAGCGTGCTCGAAACATAGCTCTCCAGTGGTTGCTGTACCACCAGGCATGGTCCTTGAATTCATCACATGGCCAGCTGGAGGTCTGAAGAATTTATCTGCAATGAGCAAGAATCATCCTAGATAAATAAAAGTCCAGTCATATTTTTGTTATATATTATTGTTCTATATTATATGTTATTATATATTATATTATATATATTATTGTTAATAAGCAAAAAAACAAACAAGCAAACAAAAGCAAATAATTCCTTTATACCTCACATTAACTTCTTGTATTTTCAAGTCAAAGATAAATGACTAAATCAGAGAAACAAAACAAACAAACAAACAAAAATAGCAGTAAATCTTGAGATTTTGATATAGAGATAAGAAACATTTTTGCCAGTGTGAGCTTAACTGAAGAAGCCACAAAGCTCAACTAATAATGCAAAACAACAACATACCAAAGGTATTATGATAAAAAATTCCCTGTCAAATCAAAAATGGGAGTGCCGTGTAAAAGTCAAGACACTTTTCTAGCAAATTCTTTGGAGTTCATTCTAGCCTTAGAGCAAAGTCAGGAAGACAACCACTAAGACCCTGGTGCCAAGTGGTTTGCATCAGCTTGAATATTCGCCACATCTATAGGAATTCAATATGAGTTTCTAATATTTTTAAATGACGCTGTGGCTCTAGAATCCATCTTTAAAATGGTTCTGTCTGCTTTGGCCGTAGGGAGGGTGATGATGGCTAAAACGTTGATCTGCACAGTGAGAAGAAACACTCCGGCGATTTCAGCAAACATTTCTTTTTCCTGTCCGTCTTTGGGAGCAAGGTGGTCCAACCAAACCAGCCTTCACAAGACCCAGTCCATCTGAGCAAGTTCAGTCCAAATGAAGAATGCCACCACACATGAGATTGGCTTTATGTCTTTGTGTCCAAACACCAGAGAGAAAAGCATCTTAAGGACTGATTGGGCCTCATGTTTTTATTGGGTTCAGTCCTTGGTCACATAACCTTTGTTACTGGGTGTAGTGACCCAGTGTGTCACGGCTGTGAGAGTGTGTGGCAAAGTCAGAAGCAAGAAGGGGCCTGAATAAGACATGCCCTTCTCAGCACGCCTTCGATGTCTTGCTTCTTCCAACCAGCCCACCTTCCCATAGCCTATTCAAATTTTTAATCCCTCGGTGGGTTAGTCCACAGATTAGGTCAGAACCCTTATGGTTGAATCCTCTCTGAAGACTATCACAGACAGGCCGGAGGTTTATTCTACTCGATCCAGTCAACAGGCAAGAGTATCACATCTAAGTATAATTGAATATAAAGATTTAGAGTCGACTCCAGAGTGTTGTCATCACACTGTGTGAAGCTGATTTGCACGTGCGCATTTCTATCTGACTTCCCCTCCGCTCCAGGCAAGTTATCATATTAACTTGACCTTTTCCCACTGACCCTCAACTTAATACACCTAAATCAGACTCTAAAGCCCCCTCTTCCAAACCTGCTCCTCTCCTTTCCCCATCCCAGGAAGTAAATTTCTCAGTCCCCTGAGTCTACGATTTAGGAGCCATGTGTGACCCCATGCATTCCCAGCTCTCCATATTTAACCCCTGAACAAGTTTAGAGCTGGCATGTCCATCTAAGCCACTGTCTTCTCCCACTTGGACACCCACCTAGAACTTCACAGTGGAAAGCAGCTTCCCTCCTTCTGCCCTTCCCCAACCACAACCTCAGGCATTCAGAGAAACCCTTTATAAACCCAAACTTCATCTCATTCTCCCAATCAAACCCCAAAGGATTCCCATCAAATCACGAATGAAATCCACAGTTCTTACCTTGTCTTTAAGGCTTGTCATGACCCTGAAGACCTCTCATTTATCTTTCTCATCCTTTGCCAGCCCCAACAACACAACAAGCTCTCAGGCCCTCAATTCTCACCACCCCAAGGGTACAGTTCACTTTCTGCTTGAAGTGCTCTTCCCTCAAGTGAGCACAGCCTGGTCCTCCCTTGTCATGCATGCCTTAGTTTTGAATTACTTCCTCAAGGAAATATTTCCTAATTAAAGGTAGTTCCCTGGTCACCTCCTACTCTGTCACTCTGTTCAAATGTCGTCACAGAAACATAATTTCCTGATTCTTTTCCCGCTCCTTCCCTCTGAGTCTTCCTCTGCCCCCAACTGTAAGCTCCATGACAACAAGGGTTTTATCTGTTCTCTGCCACATCATATCCCCCATGTCTTCAGTTGCATGTAAGAGCTTAATAAATGCTTATGGAATAGATGAACATAACCAACAATTTGGAAATAAAGTCAAGAGATAAATGCCTTCTTAGGTAGATGTGGTTGTTCAATTATTGGGATGTAATCATTTTTAGCAAGAATAGAAATGAACACAAGCCTCCTAAAGATATAGAATTTTTCTCACTCCACGTGGACATTGACATGATAAAACTTCAAACACACCAAAAGAAACTACATATAAAAATTGTTCTTAAAAGTCTTTAGATTTCCTTGATTTGAAGGCCCTGTATTCTAGGTTACATGTTTTGGAGTAATGCAGATGAAGGATATACTCTTTGTGTATGTGTGTATGATGTGTTGCAAAGGGCGTGGAAGGGATGGAATAGTTACTTTGGATTTTATTTACAAAAAAAAAAAAATAGGTTTCTATAAAGGCCCCAAACACAGAGCCCTAGAACAAGAAGTGAAGAGTTCCTGTCACTCAACGCTCCAAAAACCCTTCTTCAGTCCCACAGATAACTACTGGCTATTCCATCCCTCCCACGCTCTTTGCAAGGAATGATCCACCTACGTCAGACCCAAAGATTTGTTTTGTCTTCTTGTTCAAGCACACTCATCGGATCTTCTTAGTTACTGTTCCATTGCTGTGAAGAGACACCATGACCAAGGCAACTCTTATCAAAGAGAGCATTTAACTGGGGTCTTTTTTATAGTTCCAGAGAGTTAGTTCATGGTCACCATGGCAGGAAGCAGGCAGACATGGTGCTGGAGCCATAGCTGAGGGCTCTACATCCTGATTCGAAAGACAGTAGCAGGGGGTGGGGGCTGATATTGGGCCTAGTGTGGGGGGTTTTAAAACTCAAAGTCCACGCCCAGTGATACATATCCTCCAATAAGGCCACACCTTCTAGTCTTTCCCAAACAGTTCACCAACTGGGGACCAAGCATTCAAAGGTATGAGCCTATGGGGGAAGTTCTCATTTAAAGCTTCACAGTTTCACAGTGGACACGTTCTGTAATTTATATTATTCTTTTCAACAATGCAACATAAAGGTTATTCACACACTTTTTAACTTCTTTTTTTAATTTTGTATCTTTATTTTTTATCATATGAATGCTTTGTCTCCATGTATATATGTTCACTATGTGTGTGCCTGGTCCCTATGGAGGTCAGGAGAGGGCATCAGATTCCCTGGAACAGGATTACAAGCAGCTGAGATCCACTATATGAGAGCTGGGACTGATTCCCTGCCTTCTGCTGGAGCAGCTATCTCTCCAGCCCCTGTCTTAACTTCCTACCACTTTCCCTGGTGTACATGTGCTACGGTTTACATAGCCAGACCCGACATTCATATTTATTTCCAGCTTCTCATTACTATGAAATATACATCAGTGAGCAACTTTGTTCATAGTATTTTTGCTGGCCCCCTCTGCTTGTCTGTTTTTCTTACTAGCTCCAATCTTACTTTGAGTCACACTTCAAAATGGCCCCATGATTCCCTAGGGCTCTAGCCCCCAGTTTGTTTTCTACCTCTGTGACAAACGTCATGAATAAAAGCAACTTGGGGGGTGTAATGGCTAACCTTGGTTGTCAACTTGACAACATCGGGAATTGACTAAACCCAAGTATACCCGTGATGGATTTTCCTGATTGGATCATTTAAGATAGGTTGACTAGCATTCTGTTGTGCGTATACACTGCATTTTAAAAAAAATTTAAATTTATTCATCTGCTGATGGACATTTAAGTTGCTTACATTGCATATGTTGGCTATAGTGAACAGTCATGGTGAACACAGGATGGCGGATATCTCTGGCATGATGAGTTCACTTCTTTTAGACATTTATCCAGAAGTGAAACTCTTACACCATTTGGTAGTTCCATTTACAGCATTGGTTGGCCCTCCGTAGCGTTCCCATAATGGCAATGCTGTTACCACCAATAGCACACCAGGCCCCCTTTCTCCACATCCCCACAAAGAAATTCATTACAACACATTTCCTGGTGTGTTACTAAAAACACCCAGTAGTAAGCAAATGTGGCCAAAAATGAGTAATTCTTCAACCATAGCATGTGATCAAATTCATGAATATTTCCCTATACCCTCTTCAGTCTCTCTCCAGGCCTACTTCCCTTCAGACACTGACTTCAAACAAAGATTCACATCCCCAAGTAAGCTCAGACTCTGAATCTATCATGTCAAACTGAAAACATTAATATGCCCAGCAACACAGCTCCAAGCTTCTAGACAGCAACTAGCATCAGAGCAAACAAAGATTTTTTTTTAAAGGTCAAAGCTTTACTGTAACTGGTGAACATTATCTTATAGCAAGGTCAGCAGGAAGGACACAGTATCTTATTGCAGTGGCTGCTGGGTGACATCACAGACACTGCTTCCTCTCCGGTCCTCTCGTTAGTAAAAAGAGATTTGCCAGTAGCTCTATAGGCTTGCTGTCAGAGGCACAAGGAAGAAGGACAGAGAGCCATTAAAAGTAATATGTGTGGTGGCACGGATGAGGGGGCAGCCCTAAGGCAAGGATGGGAGAACACCGGATGTTCACCTGAAGAAACACAGAGTTGCCTCAGATTCACAAGTGACCAACTTCCTACGGCCGTTGCGTGGTTCCCACTTCCCACTCTTAGCTTTCTCGGTGAACACTCACATGAGCTCAGGTGCTAATGTATCAGTTTGAGAAATGAGATGGAACCATGAGGGGACTTGCCCCAAGCTTTACTTTGGCAGTCAGCAGAAGTAGAACAAAATGGAAGAGTGATGCCTAAGCCAGAAGTCCTTTCGTGAGGAGTCATATGGCACCCACCAGCTAACATCAGCAAGAAACCAC